GCTGGACATAGGAGGCTTCTGACTGACAAAAGTGTAGATCTGGGGGACGTTACCTGGGATGTTGTGTTTTTCAGAACCAGTTAGAAAACTGCCAGGAATGGCACAAGCACAGCGGTTCTACTGTAGGACAAACTACAAAATTATGTTTGAGGTCCATTTCTGTTCTCTTACAGTATAACGCACTTCAAGTTTGACTGAATGTGTGGAGTATGCTATGTGGAAAATGGCTGAAGAACACCGGCTCCCACTGTCTCTATTCACTATGCCTTCCTCTCCGTCTTCATACCTTCATCTTTGCAACTGACCTTCAATCCTAGAGCTTTGTCATTTATTTTCACACGGCAGCCAGGAACTGCCCAGCGACATTTAGCCCTTGATTTTCAGCAGCTGACCTACTCCCCACAGAAGAAAATCAGTAACTATCTCTTTTCCAAGATGCGTCTAATTCGAGAGACTTAGGATCGCTTTTAAGTGCTGAGCAGACAAAGCACGACAAAACTTTACCACCAACTTCTTGTTGCATTCCAGTTGCCACAGACATATATTCTTCTAGGTACTGTCATCCTACAGACCTGGACAGAGTGCCAGTAGGTAACAGTAATGGTAACAATGATGAATATTTTGTATTAAGGTTAGTGAAATTATTTAAACTAGAGTTTCTGAGGCACAAATGTGCACTTGAAACTCTTCCTATCCTTTCTCATTCTGGTCTGTTATTTACAGCTGTGTTCACACATGGCAACCAACATACAATCACTGGAAGGGCAGTGCAGTTTGTAGTTTTAACAGGTGTTAGCAGGGTAGGGTAAGTTTGAAGCATCACTCCTATCCCACCAAGGTCTACATTTCACGAAGCTAATGAAAGTAAGACCCACACAGTGGGAATCTTCACTATGACTGGTATTTATTATGTGTTAGCTAATTGGAGGTAAAAGAAAAAAATTTTCCAGTGAAGATAGATCCCAAGGGGTCATCTGCACTTCACTCAACTATTCATTGTATAGACCATGTACTTTGCTCATCTTCTATTAAAAATCTGTAAAATGAAGTGCTAGAAAGTAAAGAAGAGCAGAAAGAGGTAGAACAGGAAAATTCTTCAGCTGCAATGAATGACAAGTACATGTATTGCCTCAGGTTCAGACAAGACAAGTTGTTTAACTTCTCAAAGCTTCTTTTTTTGGAAGAATATACCCCTGGTGAAAACTGTGGGCAGAATGTAGGTAAGCCTAAAACCAGCTACTTTCAAGCTGTGTGCGTGCTTCTACACTGTATAATAACAATGAGAAATTTTAGTTTTGAAACTGTCTTTGAAATGTAAGACTCTATGGTAGAAAGAAGAGCCGGTACTTTAATGTCTAAAAATACAAAGGTTAATGTTTGGGCTTGGGAGTTTGAGAAAGAAATATGTATACTACCAGTAATGAGCAAGAGGTGGAACTCAGTACTCTGAAGGGTTAAAGTGAACTTTAGTCTTCCACCGATCACCCTCTGGTACTGTGTCTTCATAAATTTCCTCCCTTTATGGAGTGTTTTTGATGGCAGGCAATTCTTTGTTGAAAGTTAAGTGCTTTTATATGAATAAATAAAGAAGGCTTTGGTTTGAATGAATACATTATTTTGACAAATGTTTATTGGAAACCCAATTATGGCTTCATAAATCAGTGCTATCTGTGGTACATCAGGTGAGCTCACCAATGCCATCAAATGGCACGTTGAATATTAGTAGGATAATTAAAACAATTCTGTTGAATGTTGTCCCTCTTACCCAGTTCTGACAGTAGTCAAAACAGGAAGAAATTGTTTATTATTTTTATTTAACTTATTAAAATACTTCTTGTAAGATGTAATGGACATACTTAACAAAAAAGAAAAAAAAAACATTTGTTTTCAATTTGCAGTTAGATTAAAATGACAAGGTCAGGCACAATGCATGAACTGAGTGGCAGCTGAATTTTAAGAGTAGTTGAGGAACAGAAAGGATATCTATGAAGTCTGTTGTTTGAACTTTACACCTCGGTGAAGTGGGGCTTTGCTTGTTTTGTCTGAAGTGGTCACTGATGATATGAAATGTGTCTAGAATCAATTCATCTGCTTCCTTGTCCTCCCTGCTACAGTGGTTCTGAGTTAGAATGACCAAATTAATTAGAAGCCATTTTCATAAGTATGAAAATGAAAGGAATCAAGTTAAAAGTTTGAACTCAAGGTCAAGAAGAAAGGGAGGATGTTAAAGTTGAAAATAAATAAATAAAAGTCTACAAAAGACAATATAACAGGAATTCCCATCTCTTGATGCCCTCTGACTGATGACAGCAAAATGGACACATTTACAGTATTTGTGGCAATACACCGAAGATCTGTTTAAGCTTTATGAAAATAATCTGCACAATTTCCCAGTTTTGGGATATGGCTAAATTTATATTCACTAGGACTTACAAGCATAAAATAGGGATTGAAACTTTAGTAATTGGGTTTGGTGTGTATTTGTGCTAGTGTGATATACATAGCCACATAGTTGCCTTTCTTACCCACTTCAGTATAGCATTCTTCTCACTGGCACAGAAGAGGGAACAAGGAGACATAAAGAAAAGGCAGCACATCCAGCTTTTCTCCCATGAAAGAAAATGAGTGTTAACAGTTGGCCAGAGAGATGGCAATGAAATACTTTTACTTGAAATTTGTCAGTTTACTAAAAGAGAAAAAAAAAATCACCAAGACAAATTTGTTTTGTTTCACCAGAAACTAACCTTCCTCCAGAGCAATTCAGGCTCCAGATTTCTGGCATCTGGCAGCAGGCAGATAAACTGGAGGCCCCAAGGCTGAAACTCCTACACTAGGACTTCTCAGGAGCTCATATTTCCCCAGAGATCTGCTTCTTAGAGAATGTACAAAGTTTGAGGTCTTCTTCCAAATAATGGTTAGACAAAATTTTGTAATTTGCTGCAAGATAATATTCTCCCTTTTTCACCTTAACGTACCCTAGTCCCTTCTCAGGATTTCAGATGAACAAACAATAACAGTGTGGGAAGCAATATAGGGGTAGTCTTCACTATTTAGAATCCTATTTTTTCATAACAAAACAAGAGTATATTCAGCCTACAACCAGGCATGCATTTTGCTGCCAAAGGCACCGCTAGTAATAAATACTCTGTAGACAAAGGAGGCAGAACTTAGGGCAATCATGGTCCATGAAAAAGTATAGAGCCTTTGGCTTTTTCTCCTTCCTAAGCAGTCTTTCCAGGGCAAACAAATCTCTTTTCCAGAGTAGAGACAAGTGAAGGTATTGTTTTATATATTCATCTTAGGGAAACTATTGCTTAAGTTTCATGGATTGTGCTTCTTTGTGTCTTAACTTCTGGATTCACGTTCTAGTTAGCCCTAAGCGGAAATGAGGGATTTTAGAAGTAAATTCTCCTTACTACACTGCTTTTTCATGTGTGTCCTCAGAAAGGGAGACCGTTCAGTCCAAGCTATGCACTTAGAAATTAATTTCTTTTAGTAGATTTAAGGGGATGTAAGTGGTTGGCCTGGTGAAGAGAACTATGGAACTGCAACAGGAAAGACATTTAGAAACTTCCCTGAGCTCTGCTGAGGCTGGAAGGGTAACAAGGAAAAAGGAGCCTGCAGTCCGTGGACTTGACACAAAAGACACAAGACACAGCTCTTCAGCACCTTAATTATCAACCAAAGCCTCAGACCTTTCCCCAAAGCCTCAGGGATGTTTGCTGTCAATCAATAATGCTAACAAGTTTGGTTCCTGGCAAAGTTTATCAGTTTTTCTTATCTCTAGTCTCTTTTCTCAAACACTGTTTCTTCCCTTTGCCTGTGGCTACTCTGACTGCAAATGTGTATTATTGGAAGGGGAAAGGAGGGGAGAGAAAGAGCCCCAGTTTTCATAATACAGATTTAAATCCCCTTATATTTTATTTCTGAAGAAGTTGTGGCTATCAACCTTACTTCCTTTGCTGTTGATTTCACAATCAATGGGACTGAAATGTTGTCTAATGTCACTCTGCCTTTTGCCAAAAAAGTCTTGATGGACAAGCTGGTGATTCCATCATTTCCTAGCCCCTGTGAGTGCAATGCATCAGAACAGTCACTTCTCTCTTCTCCAGTGACAAAGACAAAAGAAGCTGCACCACTGCATACCTTGCATAGGCCCCTATTTCAGTGGAAACCAGCATTTAAAGTATTACATCTTAGAGCTCAAAGGAGAGGAAAGCTTCAAAGAAGACAGTTCTTCCTTTATATGCAAGACTCCTGTTGCCATCCACAAATCACTCAGGCTGCTATTATAATCCAGAACAACGAGCTGGCATTACCCCTAAATACAGAAGGTTGTGTGAAAGATTAGCAGAACAAAAACAATAAAGGAGCCATTAAAACACCTAGAAGATTAAATCCTTGAAAATATCTCCCCAAATTTCCTTGTGGCAAGATAGTGATTGAGCCATAAATCAAAGCTATTCTTCTTTAGAGGATATTTAAAGAGAAGGCAGTAGGGTTTGTTGCTATGCCCATCTAAAGAACTGCAGCTCTTACCCTAATGGGGAGAAGCAAACAGAGATAACTGATCACTGACCTCAATTATTTTAAATGCACTCCTCTTTCCTTCCAGCAAGAAAAGAAAAGCAAGTCTTGTTTTTAAAATCAACATAAATGAATAGACTATGTTTTTAATGCTAGCTTTCATTTGATTAACTTTCAGCTTTTCCTGTTTTATTTTCATTGCTAAAAACCAAAACAGTGAATTGTGTTGGATGGATAGATTAAATACTTGCTTCTTTTCCAAAGTAACTTTGACCAACATACAGAGAAATACTCGTGTTCTAAACACTTTGTACAGCATCACAGAAAACAATAGTTATTCAGAGTTAATACCTCTGGTCCATTATGTACAACTCAGTGATGATATAAGTAATGATACATTAGAAACAATGACAGAGAAACAGATGGTCCAGCAAATATTTGCTTTGAAGTCCACACAAAAACATCTATATGGTTCATTGCATTATGAAATTTTGAAATCTATCAATTCCCATTCTATCTTTTTGTCCTACCTCTCCATCAACTTCATCTGAACATGCCTGTGGTTTGCAGTAAGCAGTGGGATGAAAATGCCTATAATAAACAACAAGAAAAATAATACCTAACACCAGACTAACAATAGTTAGGATGCTCACAATTGTAAAATGTATGTCCTTAATAATGGAAGGTTTCCAAAACATATATACAAACAAAATACCTAGAGTTACAACAGTATGAGTAGCATAATAAATAGAAATGGAAACTTTTGTTTTTCTCCCCTTTATGTTAAAAAAGGTAAAAATTAGAATGATTCCAACAACAGTTCTGTACAGATATTCCATCTTCTTAGATTTGCAAAATGCTGTATGTTGTTTCAAAGTCCAGGTGAAGCCACAGATCCAAAGAAATGTCAGCAGAATTACAGAACTTTTAACACTTAGTCGAGTGATCAGTGAAATACTGAGTATCCAAGAAGTGATGGTAAGCAGCTTATAGAAAAGGTACACTAACTTGGGAAGCACAGGAAATTCATCTTTATCAGGCAGGGATTTTCGTAATGATACCTGATAATCAACCGTTGAAATGGAGATACCACAAAATGACATAATAATGGCAGCATCTAGACAAAATGCAAGAAAAAATATTAGACTGAAGAAAAAAATACTTATTTTACATTATCATTTTTGAATGAAGTTTTGGACAATTCATGCTTTCTTAACACTTTCTTTATACCGATTTGATATTTCCTCTGTGCTCCTGAGCAAGTCACCTTAATTTTAAAGCTCAGTTTAGTTACCTACATCTAAGCATCTAATGCTGTATGGTATGCCTGTGTTATCTTGCCCAGTCTCTGGCCGCTGATGGTCTCGCCTAAGTTACGTGTCATACCGGCTATGTCGACACACAGATGACTTAGAAATTCCCAAAGTATTGCAAAAAGCCCATAAATACTTAAGTTTAGGCAACTGATATTGACTCCGGGATGTCTATAATGTAGACATCTATAACTAAGACTTGACACTTCACATGGTCATATTTAAGATGATATTCATCCGACCATTTTGTCTTTGTACCTATGACTCCACGGACTATGAAGGAACACTAGACAGCAGTGCAGGTCTCTCCATTTGGTTGGATAAATTCCAACCCTGAGTAAGTCAATGTCTTGCCAATAATGCTGCTAGTTTTAGAGCTGGAAATGGTACAGCTGCTGTCTTGCTTCTGAGAATTGAACCAGTATCTCTTCATCATCTTGCATTCTGCAATGCTGACATATCCTTAGGGGTTTTTTTTTGACTCTCTCCCTCATATGTATCACCTGTATCATCATGTGGATGATGGTAGTAACAGCTCACAGGGCTGCTCTAAATACATTACTGATTTCAAGATTCCCAGTTAGTAGTTTTAAAAGAAACTGTAAGCAAAAGCACACAAAACAAATTGCTCTGCAGATTATATACTAATTGTATTCAATAGCTTGTTTTCAAGTGATGTATCATTATGTTTCTATTAGATACTATGACTTGTTACAGTGAAATCTTCCTTCTCACAGATTTAGCAGAATGGACCACCTACTAGATAGAAATTCTAACTACATGCAGAATAATTATACAGTGGAGTGTGTTTTCCAAGGTATGTTTAAAATGTTATTCAACCACAAGTTGTCTTTTTAGGTAAGATACTCAACTTGCAAATTAGGGAGAGTCAGACTCACATTGACAGATATTATCTTTGCCATGTTCCATGACGATGTAAATTTGGACAAAAAGCTGTGGTGTGGTCTCAAGAAAAGTCTTGAACACCCTGAGCATGTTAATATCAGTCACTACATCAACGGCTTGTTTTTGAATGAAGTTGGGAGGGTCTGTTTCTGATGCATCTCCACTGCTATTTGGTTTAAATGCAGCTTGGCAGCCATACTTCAAAGCAAACCAATACCTATAAAAAAAGGAGACTTGATTAGACAGCACTGTTTAAAAGCACAACTCAATAAAACGACATAGCCTAGCAACATTTTTTTCCCATTTCATTCTCCATTCACATTTTATCTTTGAATGTAATCCAGTACCTTCTACTAATATAAAATTTAGTCCAATATCTGTCTGGTATCAGTGATGTCACATAATCATTTATGACCAGTGATAGCAATGCAATGTAAAAACTACTAGAACAGGATGAGAATTGCCTGAATAAAGATTACAAGCTTTACTTTGATAGCTTCTTATTTCTTTCTTTAAAAGTACCACATTTCTGAAAATTCCCTTAATATCTCCTCTCAGTCTCTCTTTGAGATACTCATTCACTTTCTTTGTATCCTTTCAAGTGTAATAGTGAATATCCAGCTGTGAACTTCCACATCTATATCAGTATAACATAGATCCATAAGCCCCAAGGATAATATCTGATGTACTGCAAACATACAACAGGCTTTTAAAAAAAATCACCACATTCTTATTTTCTAAATACTTAGGAATACTTTCAGAAAATTATTTTCAAGACACATGGATTCAGGGGTTGACAGATTCTATTAATAATCTGAGTGGTTTTACATGAAGAAGCCATTTGCCTTGGCAAATGAGTGCACCTGAATGATTTCTAGAACAGTTCTGGTTTATTTTCAATTAAGCTTAAATGAACATTTCCTCTAAAATAGCAGTAAATGCAAAGATACATGGAATTAGTCGTGACTGGTATGTATTCTGTGTGGTAAAGAATCTTTTCCATTGAGGATATCTCTAATGCTTTGCTTAGAGATAAATAAAACCTAGCTCATTTTAAGACCTTTGCTTCAGGCCTGGAGGTGGACGTAGCACCTTAGAGGGGAGAGAATGCTTAAGTTTTAATCAAAAACCATTTTGATAATAAAGGGAGGAACCAGCTACTGTACATGGTAATCTTTACAACTGTGTTTAGGAAAAGAAGATGGTGGCTACAACCTGATGTAGGACCAGTACTCCTGCTGCTGGAAATGATAGTGTTTCCACTGTCCCTAATGGACTCACACACACGGAGCTCTGGTGAATGATTTGACTTATTGCTCTAGTGTTTTGGAAGCCAAGGGAGGTAGGAAACGTTCCTTTCGATAATAGATGAAATGGGGCAATTCCAGAAGAATGGGTTTTCATAGCTAAAGACTGCTTTTCCAGTTGAGCTGTTCAGCAGCAAAGAAAGACTCTTTTTGGAACCAGTCAACAAATTAAAGTAGGGAGAAGTATACTTGTAAGTATGCATGGAAATCCCATCTTGAAGCAAAGCAATGCTTGCTCTCTTCTGCTGTTCACTTGACTTCAAGTGGTCAGTAACAATGGCCGTGCAAGCTGTAGGCTAAACCTTGTAACGCCGTAGCACCATAACAGGCACTGTCATTGTTAGTAATGCGGCATAAGCTTTGCAAGGCGTCAGCACTGGGGCTTGTCAGACTTGCTCCATTCGAAGTTTTCTTGACCTGTCTGTGACTCTGTTTTACTTGGTTTAGCTTGGATTTTTTGCAGAAAAAAAAAAAATGGTGATGTCTTCCAATAGATCAGGTGGCTAATTTGTTTTACTTTTGTTCATTTTTGTGTGGTACAGCCATAGTATTATATAGGTAACAGTAGCAAGCAGATCTGTATCAAATGAGAAATTTATGACAGACATGATGATGTTGAATAGAGAAATAGAGTTCAGGTACGATAGCAGAGGTCCTGAGATGTGAAGACACAGGATGCAGTGTAGAAGAGTATATGGGTAGGATGATAAAGGATGGCTTGACACTGAAGACTCCACAGCTACAAACAACTCACCAATGGTCACTTATAGAAATGAGGACCTGGAGCTGGATGAAACTAGTTTGGATGTAACATGAAGCTGCAGAGAACTAAGAGAAAGCAAAGTCTGAAAGTGTGTTAGCAAACACACAAAGACGACCCAAAGTGGATTCTAAAGGTGAAGAAGAAACCATCAACATGAACACCATGAACATCCCAGCAAGACTTCAGACACTGGTAGCACCCTTTTAATGCCCTCCCCCACCAGAAAGCAGCTGCTGACATTAGGACCCAGAGGAGCAGAAGGGTGAGCAAAACACAAGGAAAAGGGATAGGAACAAAGAAATATGTGTGCAAACAATTTTAACCATATTATTATTATTATTACTAAGACTTTTTATGCATTGAAGTATTATTTCTTTTCCTGTAATAAATAGATCTAGACTAATAATGATTATTGGAATCAACTGTTACAATTTCACTTATACCAATAATAAATTCTTGGCTTTATAGCTATATAAATCCTGTGTGTTTGCCCATAAACAGGATTTTGAGCATAACAGCTTTCAAACCTATTTCTGCCTATTCAGTTCCCAGATGTCTTGAGCTTCCAATGTTCCTCTCCAATGAACCCATTTTGACTATAACTAGCAGGCAAGGACAGCAAAAGCCATCCTTTTTCAAGAAAATTCACTGTTATTCAACTAATTTATCTAGCATTATAAATGTTGCTAAAGGTTTTCCGCTCAACAGAAGGATTTAGTCAGTTGGATTATGAAGATTACGTCATTCATACAGATCTCTTTTCTGGAGGAATCAAGCAGAACACCACAGACCATCACTTGGCTATCTTACACAGTTGTACAAGCCTGCTAACATTCGGGCTGAGAAAGACAAGGTCCTAAGCCTTAGTTTGCCTCCTACTTCCATTCCCTAAGCATGCACCTGAGGTGATTTCAAGATTCATGCTGAAGTGCTGCAGGTTCCTAATTCCCTGGTCGTCCACAGAATCATATGCACTACAGATCCCATGAAACCCATGCAGTTGCATTTCCGTTACACAGAAAACAGAGGGCAGCAGATCATTAGACACCCAGATGTCACAGAATCATCTCGTCCCACTGTGACATTGTAGCACAGTCCTCCTCTGCTTACAAAGGGAGCTAGGAAGAATTCCTGGCTCCTCCAGGGGTTAAAAGTTTAACCATCTTTAAAGACTGAATCCTCTGACCACAGGGGACACCATGTCAGGGGTTCTTCCACAGCTACAAGTGAGACAGCTGGGATTAACAGGTCCTGGGTTAAGTGCATGCTAGAGGAATCATGACTTATTCCCTGGTAGGTTAAGCCTGCCAACCATACAAGCAAGAATTCCCCAGGACTAGAACCTGTAGTAGGTGTGGGGCAGTTATGTTACTACTGAGGAGCCTTAGAGGAAGACCCTTGGCTCTCCTCCTCGCAGAGACTTACAGACTGCAACCCCTTCATTCAGGCCATACTTTGATTCTGTGAGCTGGCTCTGGATCAGTTATTTATTTACTCCCAAAGGAAACTGTTTTCTACTTTTATGTTTCTGTGTATTTATCTTACTGTTCCCTGAATAATCACTCATAAGCAAAGAACTGAACTGTTTGGCATGGCATCTGTACCTTTTTCAGTTTATAGGACAATTAGGATTCCAAAACATCTGGTTCTTGCATCCGAGATGTAAACATCTGGAGAGTTTGCAATGTTTTCAAGAAAAAACAATTGGGTAGACAGATCTGTTAGTTGTCTGTGGACTCATTCACCAGAGCCTGTGTTTGTCCAAGCAGCAAGAAGTGGAAACCAGATGGACAAATTTCAAGCTGCAGAGCTCACAGCTGAGAAGGCAGATGACAGGCAAGGCAAGAACCAGCCATGTTGTAAAAGGAATATTTCTGTTGAATGCACACCTGCAATCACTTGCCAGTTTTTTGAAACATATTTCTTCTGAGTGTGATATACTAGGTTTATATCGTTATAAGATGGAATGCTATAGTATTTTTCCTTAATTGTAGCTATTTCAGCTTGTCGACTTCTGACTTTGAGTACTGTATAAAATACAGTTTTTTCTAGAAAAGTCCAAATACTTCCATTGCTCTTTGACTATGTATTAAGTGAGGTGGTATTCCCTGAGCTCCCCATGGCTACATCACTTACTGTAGTTTACTGTGACAAATCCTTTATCGTTTAAGAGTATTTCCCATCTCCTGTTTGGCATGCAATATTCCGACAATTTATGAAGGCCCATAGCCAACTTTTAGGCCTAACGTTGGACAACTGCATTCACAGCCAAGGGCAAAGTTCAGTCCGTACTAAGGGATAGCTCAGACTCAAATTTTCTTATTTATCATGCCCACGGCTCACCTAAACAGTGTGCCTGCTATGAATCTATCATAATTATATTCCTATATTAATATATCGTTGCCGTATCAGCTCCATGTTTCAGTCTTCACAAACTGAAAATAAAAGCTCTTTAAAAGCAACTTCGACTGGAATAAAAATACAGTAATTAAAAGTATTGGATTGGTTACATATTTTAAGTATACATACATCTTAAACTGAAGGTGGAATGTATATGGGTAGTGTGTCATTGATATAGACAAGTGCAGACTTGCCATTTACTTTTTCACCTTCTAAACTCATTAAAGAGGATCTTTTTTCATTAATCCCAGGTATATAAGCTACTTGGAAGCCAGTAGAGTAAAAAAATCACAACTTCTTTACAACTGGAATTGTCCTGTGTGAACAGTAAAGAATTACCAGTGTTTCTAAAGCTCATATTCACCTTGATAGGAAAAAAAAGGTTTCTGCCTTTGTGTTTGCTTTAGTGTTGTTTTGTGGAGAACACAGATGATAGGACTCCTACTTGTTACAAACACTTATTGAAACACAGCTCCACTGCTCTTGAGACACTCCTACACTTTCATCAACATTTTATGAGGGATGACGTTTGCTCCTGGTCTCCTGTAAAATTAGAAAAATTTTGGCTCTCCAAGCATGACTGGGAACTCACAGAGGTGACAGCTACTTGTTTTTGTTGCTTCACAGCCTTCACATGTTGCAGGCAAACTTCCATGTCACCTGCTTCCCCTCAGATTTCCACTAAGGACTTTCCACCACAATCCCAGTACTACACTTCACATCGCATCTCATCAAACTACATTGATAAAGATTTGGGTGCCATTTAGAAATTCATGCAGGGAGGGTGTGAGAGAGACCTGGCAGCAATGATTGTCCCTTCTAAATTCTGGTCACGCAGTCACAGTTTGCAGCATCGTATAAATCCTTAATCAAAGGAAAATTATCCTCTGTTGCATGTTAAACCTAATCTTCTAAGTATCAAAAGGCCATATTAATGACAATTAAAGGCAATATAAAGTCCATGAAACTGATGGAACTAAGTCAATACTTAGGATAGTAAATTTATATTAAGAAAATGTGACCAAGCACATTATTATTATGTAGCCTCTAACTCACTTAGAGTAGCATTACAAACTTTACAGTTTTAATTGACTCTCTGTACCTCACTGGCTTGATATCTTAAGTACCTTTCTATTTATTTTGTCCTGTGGAAATTCTTGTTATACAAATAAATTGCTAGAGGCATGTTACCAGCTTCAGTCCTCATTTTTGATCCATTCTTGGTTTGGGTGTGACTTAACAGGTGCTAAATCTGTACCAGTATAAACTGAACATCACCTACCTTGACTGAATTTTTCTCATCACCTTTTAAAAATGTGTAATGAAACAATCCCAGGTTCAGCAAAGCACTCACGTTTGCTCTGATGTCTCATGGATTTAGAATTCATCTTTGAAAAACAAAGTCTTTTTCATTTGCTCCTGTTCAAAGATGCAGGGCATCTTGAGGCTACCTTTAAGCATCAAGAGACACAATAGCAGCTGCCAATATCACAATGGCTGCTGCCTGTACAGCCTTCTATTCTGACAGTGAAGGTTATTAATTGTTAAAATTAAGTCTTCCTCAGGTGTCCTTGACTGATGCTGCAAACTGCTACACATCAGTGGACTCCAGAATTCATATGGTGCCCCAGGGAAATGTCCTCTTTTTCCACATTCACTGACTGTGTTATTGTCTTAATGTTGACTATCATGCTGCAGTCTGTTCTCAATTCCGCTAACATCTGTGTGACCCATTTAAATGGGTCAGGCTGAAAATAATTTTAGTCAGTATAGCCAATACATACTTTATCAACTTAATTTTGCTCCTTGCAGAGAATAACATATCATGTGAAATATAATTACAGGTCTACATTCTTTCCACTAAAAGATGATATGAAATAATTTTCATTTCATTTTTTCTCTATTTTTAATATATATATGTACATAATTGTATACACACATATTGTTTCCATATTTCTTAGCATTGGTAGTGTGATAACATAACCAGACTGATTCCCACTGTGCTGTGCACTGTAAAAACATAACATAATAAAGTTCCCTGTTTCAAAGATGGAGCAAGACATGTAAAAGACATATGAGAGAGGGAAGGAGGGAAGCAATCAGGAAGAAAAGAAAGAAAGAAATAGAGAAAGGGAGAAAGAGAGAAAGAAAAAGAAAGAAAAAGAAAGAAAGAGAGAAAAAGAAAGAGAAAAAGAGAAAAAGAAAGAAAAAGAAAGAGAGAAAAAGAAAGAAAAAGAAAGAAAGAAAGAAAATTTAGTAAGGGGTATTCACATTTCATAATTTCAGGCATCCTAAGTCCACTGGCCAAGTCGTATTTACTGTCTAGGCCCCTATTTTCCTCTGTAGTGACTGGAGAATGTAGGTTCCTGCCCCAAATGACCTTCCGAAGAAGCTCACCTTAACAAGTATGACCTGAGTCCTGACAAAATCTATTTTTATCCATTGACTACAGTGATAAGCCCGAGCGGCTCATTGTCTAAATTAACCAGATAAATTATATGAGGGAGGACAGGAGGGAGCGGTACATGGATACACCTAAGAGATCACAAAGGTACAAGCACAGACGTCACCTTGCTGTTATCAGCTTATACTTTACAGTATACATTATCACACTGCTGAATTTTGAGGAGTGGCTGAAAGAACTTTGTAATTTACACATATCAACTTGGAAACATTTTCCAAGCATAACAGGTGGCATAGGAGAAAATATCATTTGTGCAATAGAGAACAGGTTACCATGTTGACAACACTGTCAGTACAAAGGGCAAAATTATGTTTACTAGATATTAAGCCATTCAGAGAAGATGGGACTAATTCTGGGAAGGAAGCTTCAAAAATTATAGAAATTCATGGTAAGAGGTATTCATTGGAAAGGGTATGAGTTCAGGTAAATTCAAGAGTTTCGTGGATTACCTTAGATGAAGGTAATCCATGAAGAATTGCCTGTAAAAGCAGCATTTTTGAGTAGATACAAGTGCTGAATCAAGATTACAATATCTAGAGTTGTGGACGATCAGAGCTTGGATCTGGATTCTGAAAGTC